CCCCAAAACCCCAAAACCCCAAAACCCCAAAACCCCATGATTTGAAAATTGAATTAAACAGAAATTATTGATATTTATAAATAATAATTTAGAAAATGAGTAAAGGCTAAGCTTTTGACTACTTGATCAAGCTAATCTTGATTGGAGACTCAGGTGTGGGTAAAACTTGCTTCCTTTTGAGATTTGCTGATGACAATTTCACTTCATCTCATATTTCAACCATAGGTAATTTGAAGATGCCTCACTTTTGAAGCTATTTTACTTTATCCAAAAAGAGAATAATTATGTTAATTTTTCATTGTAGGAATTGATTTCAAGATCAAGACTATCAATATTGACGGTAAAAATGTGAAACTTTAAATATGGGACACAGCCGGTCAAGAAAGATTCAGAACTATTACTCAGACATACTATAAGGGCGCCATGGGAATCATTCTAGCCTATGATTGTACTTCAGAAGAAAGTTTCAACAACGTAAGAAATTGGGTTAGATAAATCGAGGTTCATGCAAGTTCTAATGTCGAAAAAATCCTAATTGGAAATAAAGCTGACTTAACAGATAAGAAAGTTATAGAAACTGAATAAGGAATGGCTCTAGCCAAGGAATTCGGTATGGCATTCTTCGAGACTAGTGCTAGATCAGGGCATAATGTTAATGAAACATTCTTCCACATTTCTAAGTGCATTAAGGATAAACAGGTAAAAGCTGCTATAGCAAACGGTGGAACCCTAGCAAACAATAAAGGAAATAATAAACAAAATGATTCAACCAGAGGATCGATACTACAAGAACCTTCCAATAAAAAGTAAAAGAAGAAGAGTGAATGCTGTAAATGAGGAAAGAGAACTCAACATCTACCCTCATATTAGATCAAATGATAATGATTTTCAGGGTAAATAGATGGATTAAGAAGCCATGCAAACACTGAGCAACGCGTTTGAATTATCTATAAAATATGTGAGTTAATAATCTTCAATTTCAAACACATCTCCCATTAATATTCAACTTATACATCTATACATGTTTGATAATATGCACACTTATTATGAGATAATGACTAACACTTAAATATTAGCTGATAAACAAATAAAATTTTCAATAGATTAGTCACAACAATGCTTCTCATCTAGCTAATCATTTATCCCAGTAAGTGAGATTTCCATTATTCTAAACAGCCTGATGGCTGGTATTTTTTCTTTTGCCCTGAGCCCCAGAATCTTCCTGCACGTTGGAGAAATTAAAGATATCAGCTCCTGTTCTGTCTCTATAATCGAATCTCTATTTATTGCTCATTACTGATCGAGTATCAGATTAGTTGTCTTGCCTTCTATTATCTTCAACCTTAATAATTCCTCCGATAGATGATTGCAGTTAGTTCACACCTTGGATCTTTGAGGTTCCCTTCTTTGGTACGTAGACACTGCCTAGATGTCTTTCTTATTGCTCGATATGTAAGTTATCAATATCTCTGCTCTTTGGCTAGTTGATTTCGTCAGCCATTGCGAAATGACCCTTACCAGTCTTCTCTGGAGAGACAATGGTTTTATTGTTCATGTTGATCTTGTCTACTCTGTTGTAGAACTCATCACCATTCAGCTTTCTAAATATTTCTTTACCAAAGGTATTATAGGTTTAGAAATCGCCACTCTCGTGTTTTCTTATAAGCTTATCGATATTTGAATCGATTGGTACATTCACTTCAGATAATTTTGATCTGAACTCGTTTACATTCATTGATCCCTTTGTGTAATCCTAGATGGTCTTTGCCATTCTTTCCTAGAAAGCATTTTGAGATGCACCACCATCGCCTAAAGAATAGATTAAGCATCATTGCAGTTAAATTGAATTAGTATTAAAATTTATTTTAGATACTTATTTGCTTAGCCTTTTTCATAACACTAGGGCATAAGCATTAAATATATCTTGAGTATTTGAACTGATTCTTACCTGCTTTCTTATCGTGCTTTCCTCTGTGGAAGTTCATATCGTATGGATTCATAGGTGGGTTATAAGTAGCATTTGATCTCTGATCTTTGTTGAAATTCAATGACTAAATATTGGGTTAACAATCAAATTTAATAAAGTAATGGAATAGCACTCTCATTGAGATAGTCTATTGACCTAGCACTTACTTGAGCAATTTTAGAATAATCGCACTTAGTATATTTGGATGTTCTGATGTAACTAATAAACTCAGGGGTGGCTGGAATACCAACTGTCTATATGCATTCATTATAACTCAATTAAGTAAATTACTCCTTCAACTTGCTTGATAAAACCTTCAGCATCTATCTTTCCTCCATCAAACTGTTTGAATACCTCGTAGAGAGTGCCATTTGCTTTATCTGCATACTACTCACTTGTTTAATAACTTAATGTTTAATACCTTTTATGACTTAACTGTGGATGTGGTCTTTACTGATGCCTTGCTAGTTACTGACTCTTTTGAGTTAGATCTCTTGATAGCACCACCCTTGTTTGAGCCTCCTTTCCTATCCATTTTATTAAGATTTATTTTTATTTCACAATTATTAACCTGGGGAGAATTGTAATTAAAAATTAAGTTAACAATCTTATGAATGTTTATTAATAACTGATGATCACTTTTAAATTTACAATACACACTTTAAACTTGAATGAATGGCTTTTAGTCTGCCTTTATCAGAGTAGCTTCAATTTCAGTCTTCAGCTTCTAAATTAATCATTTAACTCTTGATCCAGCCTACCTCTAAAATGTCTATTTTAATTTCCACCCTGGCCCATCTACTGCTGAGTTCCCTTCGCATTAGCCTAAAGTTCATACATATACTCCTGGTCCCAGAAAGGTGAATCTTTCCTACTATCAGCAATTCCAATAGCGCTTATTTTGTTGCTGTTCAATATTCCACCTAAAAATGGACTCTTGTTTTAATATATCTCGCCATTAAGATCTAACTCTTCCTCTGGTATTATGTGAGAAAGTCGATTTATATCGTTATCAGTAATCTTCTTGAAAGGTGAAACAGACTACTTCTTATGGCTACTGCTATTCATATTTTGTCTTGATCTTGCCACTGCTGTGTTATTCTAACCCCTAGTTTGAATTACCTTAGTCTTTGATTTCCAATTCTCATCCTTATTAAAGGACATTTCAAGAGTCTCAATTGTATTTTCCCCTTCATTACTTACATCAAAGACTCTTTCTCTAATTATCTTCCTCAGGTCATTAATTTCTTAAACACCCATGCATGTTCCACACAATTTACTTTCCTTAATTGTTAACTACTGCACATAACTTTTTATCTTTTTTAGAGCATTAGACATACTATCTCCCTATTTAAGCTACTTCATATATGTTTTGTTAAGTATTTCGTGATCTTTTTCCAGTTCAATGTACTTCTCTCTGATTTTAGCCAAGGCTTACTCAAGTTAATGTGAATATGACTTAAGTTCTTACTTCGAGTCCTTTATCTTAAGTTTATTGACTTTAGGAGCCATGAAATTGCTATGAAAATTGATGGGAGCAGTACTCATAAATGCCTTTTTTGCTGGGTTGTTTTGCAAACTATCGTTGTTACCTAGATATTCATCATCTGTATAATCATCCTCATCTTAATTCTAGTTATCTTCTTCTATTTCTTCACCATTCTCTCCACCAATATCGAGTACTTCTACAATTTCTTTCTTTTTCTTTTCCTCTATTAACTTCGGGGAGTGCATTCCTCCCTCCTTTCTCTAAACTTTCTATTTTTTCCCAACTCCAAATCCCATTAGTAGAATCTACTTTCTAAGTCTTCCAATCTCTTCATGTGCTTGGTCAAGCTATACTTTTAACTTTTCATTTTCTTCTACTACATTTGAGATTTTCTTATTAGAAAATACATTCACTCTGAGATCATAAAGCTTCTCTCGAAGTTCTTCGTCCTCCTCTGCATACTCCTCTAATATTTTTTCGACTTCTAGCCATTTTCTTTCCTTAGTCTGCATAAAATACTCTTTTCGCTCTAGCTTATCTTTCAACTCATTTAATTGCTCTTCGAATATCTGAGCATTTTCAGTCTCTTTTCCTTAAAGTTCGTTACAAATTTGTTGTAAAAGCAATACCTAGGCATTTGCTTCATCCAATTCGTGATATATGGTTTTTATCCTGAGTCGCAATAGATCGTTCTCATCGTTAAACTTCTTCACCAATGCAGACTCAACTTAGGAGAGTTATTTGCATTGCAATAAATCGCATATTATACCCTTGTTTATCTCCAGTGTAGTTTACAAATCCTAGATCTACTGATTCAGCAGTTTTTTCTCGTTTTCTTAAAATGCGTTTTTTGCTTTCTTGAATGACTCTACTTGAGTATCTGTTACCTCTTAAGTGAATAATGTCGCCGAGCCACTTTTATTGGTTGTAAGCTTTTCCATTTTGCCTTTATCAACTTTCTAATTAAAAATAAACTTACTTAATGCTAATTATAAATATTCATCAGCATACTTAATTAAATTTAAATCAAGCTATAGTAATTTAAAAGAGAATCTGCTGCAATTTAGATTCTGGCGGAATCTGAATTCTATTAAGACTTAATAGTTAAATTAATGTTAAATATCAGATTCACTTTCCCATAGAAGGCTTGAAAGTCTCATATCCTCTTAACAAATACTCCATATGTCTTTCATTCTCATCGATAAGTCTAGCAACATAGTCTTCGTAGTAGATGAACTATCCAGTTTTATCTAGGGCAAATTGTTTGAAGAATTCGTACTCTGTGGGTCTCAACTGAATACCCTTAGTTGTTAGTAATTGATGCATCACATCCTTCTTGATGTATCCTTTACCCTCTGGATCTAAGATTCTAAAAGCAGCTAGGAGATGTTCAGCTGGATTAGGTTCAAACTCATTGCTTAGTAGTACTTGAAGCATGTACGGTTCAAATTTCTCATACTTAATGTAATCACTTGGTTCATCATCTTCAAGCTAAATTGAGTTTGATTAGAAAGGGTTATTAAATATTTACCTTTGGGATAATGTAATCTCTAACTTGAGCCTCAGATGGATATTGCAGGAGATATCTCATTAAGTAACTGATTTCCCTATTCAAAAAATATTAGGCTCAGATTCACGAAAGTAAGTTATTTTAAAAGTAATTGTTTTTTAAGAATTGTACCTTTTATCAACGATGCCTTTTCTATCTTAATCTACAATGTTGAAGGCTTCTCTAATCTTAGCCTTTAAAAATTCTTGCTACTTGATTTTTTCGAGAGTGTTAGTTGGTGCTGGCAACATTTCTATTATTTAAAATTATATTATTAATAAATTAATAATTAAAAGTCACAGCCCTTTATTAAAATTAAAAGGTTTCTAATTTCAATCTAGGAAAGACTAGAGTACTAAAGTATTAGAATTCTATTGATATCAATCAAAGATTCTAGAACTTTCTCAGAATCTTTAGCCTCTTCCACCTCTACCAGCTCCAGGCATACCTCCGGGCATACCTCCTGACATAAAGGTGAATCCTGGGAATCCTCCCATTCCACTAGATCCAAAGGCTGAGCCTCCTCTGCTACCTTGAGTTTATCCACCCCCAAACATCTCTTCTCCGAAAGGAAAGGAAAATCCTCCTCCTCCTGGGAATCCTCCCATTCCTCCTCCCATACCTGATGACATTCCTCCACCGCCACCTCCAGCTGTTTAGAAAAACATTTTGAATATCTCATTAGGGTCAATGTTAGCTTCTGAGAAGTGGCCGCCCATTCCACCATCAGGCTCTGATGGATCATAGCCACCCAAATCGTACCTCTTTCTCTTTTTATCGTCACTTAAAACTGTGTAAGCTTCATTTACATCCTTGAACATCTTATCTGCTTTCACCTTTTATTCTTCAGACCCTTGATTACGATCTGGATGCCATTTCAGAGCTAGTTTTTTATATGCCTTCTTTATCTCATCATCAGTAGCTTTCTTTTCTAACCCTAATATTTTGTAGTAATCTTTTTTCGAAGCTTCTTTAGCCTTCTGCTTGGCAACTTTTATCTTGTCTTGAACACCAAAGCCACCTAAAATTAAGTAAACCAAAAATATTTTTACTTGGATCAATCTAACTTGCAGCCTAAAAGTCTCTCAGAGCTTCTTCATGATTATCTAGAGCCTAGTTAACTTCTCCTCTTTTAACTAATGCCTTTGCATACTAAGGATTAAGATATATTGCTTTGTTGAGGTGAACTAGAGCATCCTCATTCTTTTTTAATTTATTGTAGGCCATACCCAAATTGAAATGAATGGTAGAATTATATTAGATGTTTAAGTGATCAATCTCAAGACATTCCTTGAATTTTTGAATGGCATCTTCTATCTTATTATTTTTAAACAGTTGAGTGGCTTCATCTTTAAGTTCATTTTGCAATTTTATGTTTTTTATTGCGGTTTTAAACTCCTGATTATCAGGATCAAGCTGCAAAGCTGCTAAGAGTTATTTTTTGCCTTCAACCTCGTCTCCATTATATATTAATAATCTGCCTCGAGCACCTTTGATCACAGCACTATTTTAGAAAATTGGATTATTAACTAACTCTCTGCTGAAATCAACGGCTTCTTTGAGCTTTGAGCCTTTTAATAATAGTTCTAATTTAAGCAAGCAGTGCTTTTCTGAAGCAACACATTCACTCAAAATTTGATTGACATAATTTACTGCTGATTCAAAGTCTTTTTGTTCGATAGTTCTCTACACCACTCTTTCTTAAGTAGCAACATTCTCATACTTCTTCATATCATCTTAATTGGTTTTGTCATTTGGATCTGATGTCATTGCCTTAATAATGGATTCCTTAGCTTTCTAGAATATGAATTAACAATTATGTCTTTTAGTCTAATAAAAACCTACCTCAAGCTCTCCTAGCGATAGATAAGATCTAAAAAGCCTTTTATATGCCTTGCTGAAGTTTGGGTTGATATTGAGCGCCATGTTGCAGTCTTCAATTGCCTTTTTGAATTCCTTCAGCTATATTTAAGAAGCTGCTCTGTTAGTATAAATTGCTTCATTTGGTTTGATGTCTATATATCAGAATTCGTTAAAAATCTTGAATTTCCAAAAAGAATAAAAAGTTCATGACTTTGATATTCTTACCTATAGCTTCTGAGTACAGTTTGATAGCTTTCTGATAGTTTCCCTTCTTGAACTCTTCATTTCCAAGGTTCTTTTTCTCCTCTGCTTTAGTTTCCATGTTTCAAGTTTAAGTTATGTAATTGGAATTCTAGAAATCTCTTTTTTAATTATTATATTCATGTTCTAAATAATTTATATATGCAATTCATGGGGTTTTGGGGTTTTGGGGTTTTGGGG